ACTAACTAACTAACTAACTAACTAACTAACTAACTAACTAACTAACTAACTATCTATCTATCTATCTATCTATCGATCTATCGATCGATCTATCGGTGCCTTTGTTGGATTTTGTACCTGGATTATTGAGCATGAATTTCGATGTCTTGAACCACTTTGCCTATGACTGCCTAAGAGGAGTCGATGAGGTGAGGGGGGGCCCCAGAAACCATCGTATCACCAGCAAACTGCTTGGTCCACTATGTGAGTGTGCTGCTTGTGGGACACGATCGATCGATGGACATTCGAGCTCCGTGGCTTCAGCGGTTCACTCCTCTCACTCAATCCGAAGCAGGCAGCCCAATCCCGGCCAGCCGAGTCCAATCCACCCCGCTCAGTCTGCCCGTCTCTGAGGTGGGGCAGACTGAGCGCAGCTGCCCCAAATCAGGCTGCTTGCTTCGGATTGAACAAGAAGAAGACGTCGCTGAAGCCACGGAGCTCAAATGTTTACAGAGAAGTTGCTAAACTTCATCATAATTAATGACCAACCACTATTAGTTGTAGAAAATGAAGGATTTCACAGTTTGATACTTGCAGCCAAGATATAGTTTACTCTCCAGGAGATATTTATCAGTACAACAGTAGACAATCATAAAAAACATGATTTGAAAATTACAAGAAAATTATATATATATAAAAAAAGCTGCTACATTATAAAGTGATTTAATTCATTTATTCATTCATTTAAAAGAAACTAAATAAAACAAATTTGTCAAATAGAAAACGTTGAATGAAAAGAGTGCAGAAAGAAGAAAAAAAATTCTTATATCTGCCCCTTATTTAAAAAAAAAAAAAAAAAACTTAAAAAAAACCAATCCCTTAAATTAATCACTTTAATATCCACTTTAAAGCTAGGAATATTTTTTTGTGTGTTAGCAGAATTTAATTCTAACTATAAAACTTATCCAACATTAATACAACATACTTCAAGTTGCCTTTTTGGACAAGCATGCATATATTTGTACAAATTATACTTGAGAGGAGATTATTACAGCCTCATATAAAATCAATGATGATGATATTGGAACGGGATCGGTATCGGACAATATTCAGACTTGGTATCAGGATCGGATCAGAAGTAAAAAAAAAAAAAAAAACGTAGATCGGGGCATCTCTAATTAGGAGTTGTTGCGTGTCACAAACAACTTTTGATAGAATAAAGAAAATATTAGGGCTGATATGTGCAAATAGTCAGATATCCTGTTAAAATATTGCTTAGCAAGTGACTTTAAACGGATCCTGCCGAATCAGGAGCCATCATCTAAATCAAACATTTAGTTGTTTGTCAGTTCCATATTTTTCCCAAAGTAACTTTATGAGCCATAGAATTAAATACCTGGTGCCGAACCAATGAGCCGGCCAGATAAGTCGGTCCCCGGCAGCTTCTTTTTCAGAATAGGGACAATCTTTTCATCAAAGTACTCCATGGCCATGGAGGAGATGTCCCTCAGCTCCTGGAGGACCTCGTGAGCTCGTTGGGGGGCTCTGGTGGAGTTCACATAGCGCAGCACACGGTAAATCTCATCTATCACCTGATAAGACACAAAGGCAGATGGAATTAAACAACCAGGAAGCCAATAAAAAAAAGAAAGTCTTTGAGAAATGCAGAATATACTGTTTTATCTCAAAAATGTCTGCAAGTGTTTATTTAGTGATGACGTGCTGCTTTAGAGCTTGTGTCTGTAAAAACTGCACTGTCAAAGAGGAGACTGTACTTGAAGACGGCGTCACATTCTTCATGGCTTCAAGCACAGGTACCAACCTCACAGGCTCCGCTTCACAAGTGTGGGAAATGTTTCCGACTCCCTGCTGACTGTGTAAATCTGCTCTCTTAAAGGTTCAGAAACATTTCTCTTGTTAATTTCATTTCAACGGAGACCTAATCTTACCTAAACATTCAGAAAGAAACCTTTATATAAATGTTAAAACAGATATTGTCGTCATTATTTTAAAAAGTATTTGATCCTCTGCTAAAACATGGCTTCACACTTGGTGCAGAAATCTTTGTTGGCAGAGCAGCAGGAAGATGTAACATACTGTAATTTATGGACTATTGAGCGCACCTGAATATAAGACGCACCCGCTAAATTTAAAAAGAAAATTAAAATTTGACAGAAACAGGCCACATTTGTCTATAAGCTGCGAGTGTTCACGTTGTAACGAGATATTTACACGGAAAGATTTTTTTTTACTATTACATCATTTTTTACAGTAAAATCCCAATTTTATAGAAACGTTCACGTTATATTTAAATGCTGCTTCCTTTCACTCACCTACACACCTCTGTTTGGGATCATTGCTGAAAAATTCAACCACTACCTTGTTCTGTCAAAGTGAGAGTGATGGTAAAAATGCCAAGTCAGTGTGTACATTTAAGAAAACGATCAAAGCTGAATTGTTAAAATATATATATGAAGTACCTTAGTGTGTTTTGTATTAGTTAGAAAAATTAGAAAGTTATTCGTTTTGTTCTGTCACTTGAAGATTATTATCATTGAACTAATTGAAAAAAGGGGCAGATATAAGATTTTTTCTTCTTTCTGCTGCCTTTCATTTTAAATCTCTTGTATTTTTTATAGTTTATGGAATTGTTTTGTGTTTTTAAAATGAATAAACTTTATACCATACCATACCAAAGTAGAGTTTTACAGTACACTTCATCTTTTATTGATCCCTCAATGATTTCAAGTTGTCTCTACCTTTGGCAGACAGAAGAACAGACCCAAAACATAATGCTTCCACCTCCATGCTTCACTGTAGGGGTGATGTTCCTCAAGTCATGCCTATCATTTGTCTTCTTCCAACCGTGATCAGTATGTTACGTGGAGCTCCAGACGGGGGGGGGGGGCAAATGACGATGACAGTGAGGGGCATGCAAATAAATTTGTCTCATTTACATTATGCTTTTTTTTTTTTTTTTAGATGTTCGGATTAATACCGTCTCTTTTTATTGTACAAACTACAAGAAAATTTAGAGACTGACAGTCACTTTGCAGGTGAGCAAAACTACAAAATCATGAGGGAATGACACGGTTACTTGTATACTCTGACATTTTGTCTAGACTTTCTGAAAAGTCCTTTCAGACCATTTTTTTTATTTTTTATTAATGAGTTTATAAGTTAAAAACATTCAAACCATAAATTGTCTGTACCTTGAATTTGTAAAAACTACGGTTATTGAGTACTGTGTTTAAAGGAGTTTCAGAGCCGACTGCACTTCTTGAGCCTAAAATATCAGGAGCTTTGTGTCGGCCTTTACCGGAGGCCCTTCAGCTGCTCTGGTGTAAGTGGGCAGGTGTTCTGGGGTTCAGAGGCAGTGAAGCAAACCTTTCCAGGAATAAAGCAGCAGAGGTTCGAGTCGACGTATTTCATGAAGGTCATGTTGAGTAAAGAGAGCCGCGTCTCTACAGCTGCCAGGATGTCTGCGTGACGAGCCAGTGAATGGTTCCTCCTCTCAGACTCCCGCCTGGACAAGAACACAAAGGAGGAGAAAACTAAGATCAGAGAAGCAAAAAAATAACAATTCTTTAAGTTTCACTGAAGAATTCCTAAACCTGAGCAGCAACAACACACTTCATACTAGTATATTAGTAAAATTAAATGAGAGAACGACTTTTTAAAATATAACCCTAAAAAGTATCAATCTGAAATCGGAGCGTGCTTTGAACACGATTAGTTAAATTAGTGTCACATTATCTCAGTATATCCAACAGGGCTCCCAGCATTTCACAAAACAAAATTCCTTGAGTTTGCCTTGAGAAGATCCTGAAATTCCAGGAGATATTTCACATGAAACCCTCAGCACAGCGTCTTAGGTGGAGGGCAGAGTCACATTCAGAGGACTGGAACGCTACGTGCAGATCGTAATTAATTATATTCTATAACATCACACACTAAAAACCAACCACAGCCAATCAACAAGGACACATGCACTGTGTACTGAGCGGTGGCTCAGAGGTTAGAGAAGGCAGGCCTGTTATCAGAAGGTTGCTGGTTCGACTCCCCGGGCCGATAACGTCACAATGTGGGTGGAAAAGGTGAAGCACTCCCACCTGCCTCCACCCTCATTTGCCCCACTCTGGGCCCTTGAGCAAGGCCCTTAACCCCCACCATCCAAACAGGTCTCCCTTGAGACTACCTGTAGAAATAAAGGTTAAATAAATTTTTAAAGTACACTGTAGAAGCAGAGCATGGACTCAATGATGCTAGAATACCAGAATTAATACTAAATGGACTGTACTTATACACTTGGGGTATATCTTGGATCTTTTGGTGTGCCGGTCGTTTAGTGTGTATCCTGGTATATATCTCTTACATTATTGTTTACTGTTTCTTTTTACAATTTATATTGTTGATATTGTTGGATGTAACTGGGACCCTGTGTAGACAATTTCATTCCACCTCATGTACCACATGTGATGTGAATGACAAAGAACCTTGAACTTATACAGGTGCTGGTCATAAAATTAGAATATCATGAAAAAGTTGATTTATTTCAGTAATTCCATTCAAAAAGTGAAACTTGTATACTATATTCATTCATTACACACAGACTGATATATTTCAATATTTCTTTTAATGTTGATGATTATAATTGACAACTAATGAAAACCCCAAATTCAGTATCTCAGAAAATTAGAATATTACTTAAGACCAATAAAAAAAAAAGAATTTTTAGAAATGTTGGCCAACTTTAAAGTATGAGCATGTACAGCACTCAATACTTAGTTGTTGCTCCTTTTGCCTGGATTACTACAGCAATGTAGCGTGACATGGAGTTGATCAGTCTGTGGCACTGCTCAGGTGTTATGAGCCCAGGTTGTTCTGATAGTGACCTTCAGCTCTTCTGAATTGTTGGGTCTGGTGTATCACATCTTTCTCTTCACAGTACTCCATATATTTTCTATGGATGGGGTTACAGTCAATTGAGTTTGCTGGCCAATTAAGAACAGGGATACCATGGTCCTTAAACCAGGTACTGGTAGCTTTGGCACTGTGTGCAGGTGCCAAGTCCTGTTGGAAAATGAAATCTGTATCTCCATAAAGTTGGTCAGCAGCAGGAAGCATGAAGTGCTCTAAAACTTTCTGGTAGATGCTGCGTTGACCTTGGACCTCAGAAAACACAGTGGACCAACACCAGCAGATGACATGTCTAAAATTATGTTCTCTGATGAAAATAAATTTCGAACTTCCTTTGGAAATCAAAGTCCCAGAGTCTGGAGGAAGAGAGGAGAGGCACATAATCCATGTTGCTTGAGGTCCAGTGTCAAGTTTCCACAGTCAGTGATGGTTTGAGGTGCCATGTCATGATGACCTGAGCAGAACCACAGACTGATCCACTCCATGTCACGCCGCATTGCTGCAGTAATCCAGGCAAAAGGAGCAACAACCAAGTATTGATGCTGTACATGCTCATACTTTTCATGCTCATACTTTAAAGTTGGCCAACATTTCTAAAAATCTTTTTTTTATTGGTCTTAAGTAATATTCTAATTTTCTGAGATACTGAATTTGGGGTTTTCATTAGTTGTCAGTTATAATCATCAACATTAAAATAAATATTGAAATATATCAGTCTGGGTGTAATGAATGAATATAATAAACAAGTTTCACTTTTTGAATGGAATTACTGAAATAAATCAACTTTTTCATAATATTCTCATTTTATGACCTGCACCTGTAGATAGTATGTGCTACACCGGTTTCTTGATCAGCAGAGACACATTTCACATTCTACAAACACTGAATGGGTTTAGGACTGTTTTCATGCTCTCAAAACACATTTACTTTAAATTCCAGGATGCAACAAAACAGAGAGAATGACGGGGGGAGTGAATAATTGTGCAACCCACTGTAACCTTCATGAAACATTAGATCTGAACCTTCTTTCAACATAATCAAGCCTTCACTGAAAGAGCAGGACTGTAAACCAGATGCAAGGAGGCTTGAACACAGCTTATATTATGAATAAAACAAATGTGAAGAACAATAAGGTTAACAGGGACAGTGTTTATAGGATTTCAGGGTTTCTTCTGCAGGGTTTGTGTAAACGTGTCACTAACCTGGGCAGCTGGGCCTTGACTTGCCTTTGGCAAAGGCTGTGGTACCGCTCCACCTTCAGGAAACCCTGATTCAGGACGCGCTGACAGATGATGTCCATGCGCTTACACACCTGCAGAGGACAGACCAGAGACGAGATGGGGACAGGTCAAAAGACCTCCCAAGCAGAGCCACAAGTTTATCGTCCCTGATTATTCTCCGATGCAGTGATGCATTATGTGTGTGTGTGTGTGTGTGTGTGTGTGTGTGGTGGGGGCGCAGCCGTCAGGAACAGTTCCTTCTCTAATGGTTTGTACCGTTTGTAGTGAGTTTTCTAACAAGTAATCTGTATTTTCACATCATTTTATCAGAACTTTGTCAGGTTGATAAAGAATTTGTTGATTTAACAAAAAGGAAAAAACAATCTAAATAAAAATAAAAAAACAGTCTGAACACCGAGTGCTGAATGACTAAAATAAAATTGAATAAATCCAAAAAAGTAGCAAAAGGCTAGCTAAAAGAAGAGCTTTTTAAAGCTAAACAAAACACAAGCTAACATCTAAAGGTACCAAAAGGGTGTTTTTCTTTTCATTGACCCTTTATTTATCCAGGTAGTCTCATTGAGTCACACAAACTCATTTTCAAGAGACCTGTTTCAGAGCACATGGTGGGGGTTAAGGGCCTTGCTCAGGGGCCCAGAGTGGGGTGAATGAGTGTGGAGGCAGGTGTGGGTGTTTCACCTTTTCCACCCACATTTTGATGTTGACGGTACCGGGAGTTGAACCTGCGATTTTCCGATCACAGGCCCATCTTCTAACCTCTGCACCACCACTCCCCCTCAATGTTAAATGTTACTGCATGCTGAAATTTGATTAAGAAGCTAAAACTGAGTTGTTACACCTAGGCCTGTCACGATAAACAATAAATCAATTAAACACACGATAAATGAAAATTATCGACCTCATTTTCATTTATCAGCTTTATCGTTTCTTCGTGTCTCTCTCTTTCTATTGAAGACAATGATGACAAAAGGCTCAACTCCGGTGTTCTTCACTGACCCCTCTCTTTCTCTTTTCTCTTTCAAATCTGTTTTAACGATCCAAAATCACATTTTTGGATCGTTAAAAGCAGCTAAGCTGAGAAGCTAAGCTAACAGGCCGACCTTGGGAAAAAAACCTCCGTCTTGTCGAAGCTCCAAAACTCACGGTTGAAACCCGTGTCTTTGTGTAAAAAGCTGTTTTTCTCTGCAAAAAGAAGCTGAGAACTTGTTTACTGATTTTTTTTTATTAAAAGCTTTGTGTGAAAAATGCTATGCTAAAGAGCTCAAACCACACTGAGCGTCTGCCATTTAGAGAACCGACTAAAGGAAGGAGAGACAGCCCATGTCACGTCAAGGGGCCTCCCTCCCATGTTTCTTAGAGACACGCTGCTCGCTCCCTCACTATCCAGCCTTCGGTTCAAACAGTCTTATACTGCCATCTAGTGGTCGAAAAAAGGTACTACACACAAAACAAATTAACCAAGATTTCTTCTTAAATTTGACAATAATTACTAATTATTTTTGACAATAAATTTTACAATAAATAATTATTTTCAAATTTCAAACAATATTATCATTTATCGCAAAAATTTCTGAGACAATTGATCGCTCATCAAAATTTGTTATCGTGACAGGCCTAGTTACACCTAAAAGAAGCAAACTCTAGCTAACTGCTACAAGAAGCTAACAAAATGTTTAGCAGCATAACAGTAGTTAAATGTTGCAAAATGTTAACAAACGTCAAAAGTAGCAAAAAGCTAGCTAAAAGCCAAAGTGCCAACAGGTTTAAACTCAAAAGCTGGAGCAAATTCACCCCAAGGTCAGACCATGCACTGCATTCAGAAAACCCAGAGCTCCATCTCAGACTCTCCAGGCCTCAGTAAGTGGGTTAAAGGTCATGACAGAACAACTACAAAAATCGGAACAAGTGTGATTTCTTTGGAAGATTCGCAGCATGGTTTAGGTTTGCACAGCTGCATAAGACATATGTCCTTTGGACAGATGAAACCAAGGAAGGGATTTTTACCCATAATGCACAGCACCAGATTTGAAGAAAACCAAACAACATATCAGCATAAATACTTTATACCAACTGTAAAGCACGGAGGGGGCAATATGATGATTCAGGCTTGTCTTGCTGCTGCAGAACCTGGACACCTTGTGGTTATCCAGTCAACCATAAACTCCTTTGGGTAGCAAATTATTCTACAGACAAATAAGAGGCCATTATTTAAATCTCTGTTAAAGAGGCTCAAGTCCGTCAGCAGAACGTCAGACCGTTCTGCCTGCAGCCATCTGTCCTGGTTCTGTCCATGTTTCTGACTCCTGTTTTGGGTCTTTTCGTGAATGTTTTTCTTTCATTTACTGGACTAATTTATGTCTAACAGTGTTTAGTACATATTAGAGGTGCACCGATTGCAGTTTTCTGGCCGATCATCGATTTCTAAAAAGTCTGACCTGCTGATTCTGATTTTGTTGGATAAGCCACACTGTCAGGTGTTAGAAGGTCACAATGAACCTTCAATTTTCCAATATTATTTTATTGAACAACATACTCTTGAACAATATCCTAGAAACAATACATACTTGTTTTAACTGGCCAAGAGGTAGTGCTCTGAAATATAAATGAAGTTTAGCCAATTGTTGTTAAAAATAACAAAAAATAAAAATCTATAAAATTGGTTTCTCATGCATCGTCCGATTTCCCCAAATTAAGGATTTATCGGTGCTGATTTATCGGTGCACCCCAAGTACATACGACACTTATAGGAATTTGTTGGGCGGGCTGGTTGAGTCTGCCATTCATTTAGCGTTTGTCTTTTTTTCTATATTAAATTCCATATTCAGGTTGACATAACACCTGCCCAAGGTAAAACAAAACTGCCTCTTTACCAGATGAGACATTTACCGTAACGTTTATTGATTTGAAATGATGGCGTTAAATATAATCATAGTGATCTCCTTATTTGAGCCTCCCACACTTGGACTCCTCGTGCTGTACTGGACTGATTGTGTAATAGGAGCAAACGAGGGTTGATTTTATGATCGTCTTTCTGTCCACCTTTTTATCACCCTCTTCCTCTCAGTTGTCTGTACTCTGTGCTTGCTGTCACAAAGAATAACCCTTAATCATAAATAAGAGGCACAGTGGTCCAGCTCTCCTCTCCAACAAGGACAGACTGACTGCAGCCTATTCCCAGTTTATAAAACAGTTCAAATCTGGGCCACCGAACAGAACCAGTCCCAGGTAACATGATCCGAACCTGAACCGGTGAGCTAGATCAACACAACTTTGTGTTTAACGATTCAAAACACTGATCTTCAAAGAGGAAACCAGACAGTCTGCTCCTGCAGAAACGCCTCTCTGCCTGTTGATGGTCCATGAATCCAGCAGACCGAGCAGGTTTTATTGCAGTGCAGTGTTTGTTAATCACCTACAAGGAGCTGCAGCGACCGTCTGTCTGGGATTCCTTCTGTCCGTCTCTCTGCTCACAGCTCAAGGTCCTACTCATTAAAGATCAACTAAGCAGTGCAGCTGCGGACAGCCGGCAGACCCGGAGCCCTGCGGCTCTCTGACCCGGAGCCCTGCGGCTAGCTGCAGCCGTCTCGTTGTGTCCTTACCGCGCGCAGCAGGCTGATCTCGTCGTACGACAGAAAATTCAGAATATTCTCAATGGCCACGATGGGGAGACCCAGCAGAGGGTTGTTCTGGTGCTGCTGATCCGGAGGAGGGGTGGACTGTCTCAAAGACACCGAGTCTGGATCCAACGATCCAACACATCCGTCAACTCTTTCTACGACGGTCGCCATCTTCTTTAGCCACAGAGGAGGCGGAAGTGACGTATCTATGGGAAACTCGTGCCCATGTTAGTTTTTTTTCCTTTTTAAATGGGTCACAGATTGTTGGACTCTGCTGAAGGGTTGCCAACTTTAAGACAGTGGTCAGTGTGGCGCAGAAGGACTTTTTGTCCAGTTGAAAGACAGATGTTGTAAAAAAAATCAACTCATACTAGTTAGCCATATGCTGCATTTAAATTGTAGCTAGTGTTTTGCTCCTTTTAGCAATTACTTTTTCTACATTTTTCTTTTAGTTAGCCTTTTGCTAATGTTAGCTTTTAGTTAGGTAGCTATTTGCTACTTTTAAGAAGCTAGTCTTTTGCCGTTTTAGTTTTTAGCCAGCATATTGCCACTTTTACCATTTATTAAAATACTTTTAATCAGCTAGTGGTTTGCACATTTTACTTTTTGCCCATTTAATGCTTTGCTCCTTTTAGATAGCTTCCCCCCCCTACATTTAACATTCAGTTAACCTAAAAGCCCATTTAGCATTTATCAAGTATTTCTACTTTTTGTTTTAAGCTAGCTTTTTCTTACCTTCGGCTAGCATTCCCCCCCCCCCCCACATTTAGCATATTTTAATACTTTTTAGCCTTTAGCTAGTTTTGCTACTTTCATGTTTTAGCTAGTGTTTTGTTCCTTTCAGCTTGTAGCCGTTTACAGTAGTCCTTCGTTACTTTGTGATTTGTTTTTCGCAGACTCGCTCTATCGGGGTTTTTCAAAATAAGATTGGACATGACACACAATTGGCTGATTGATGGATGAGCCCCACGATCGGCATGGAATTGTTATTTAAAACAAATTATTTAAAATTACTTAGCACCTCCTGCACCTGTGCAGCACACAACTAGAGAAAAAGCTTCCTCCTGCACCTGTGCAGCCCACTGCAGGATAAGCTTTCTGCTGCAGCTGATCAACTGTTCTCCGTGGGCGTGGCCAAGAACGCTTGCAGGTGGCTGAGCAGTGGAGGTAAAGAGAGGGAAATCATGACATTCTGTGCTCTTTTAAGGCTCCGACATACTCGGGCAGACCGTGAGTTGCACGGAAACTGCACGCACTGTCTGTGGTGTATTGCACTGATAGTACATGTTGTGATGACTGTGACCACTAGGTGGCGCGTCGGTTGTACGATTGTGACTGTTGTACATTGAGTTGAGAATAAAGCAGAGAAGGCTGCTGTTGGGCCTTGAGCACAAAGTCTCAGTCTTTCCTCATAAGCTACTCAAATATGCAACCCACAGCTGATAGAGCCTAAAGCTACAACATGGTGTCAGAAGTTTGGGTGCAGAGTGAATGAAGACAACAGCGTGAAAGGATTGGCCCTGAGCTAATAGATGCTAACTAGCATGAACATGGAGCATTTCAGGCCACCATCACCGCTCATACTCACCAGCAATCTGTCTGAGGCGTGGCGCAGATGGGAGCAAAGGTTTCGGCTCTACGTGGCAGCCACAGGTGCGTCTAAAAAAGATGAAGGGATTAAAAATAGCCATTCTTCTTCATACCATCTGCAAGGAGGCACTAGAAAGGTACAATATGCTCACCATTACCCCAGCCGAGGACGCCCTCACAGTAGAGGAAGTCCTAAATGCGTTTAAAGCCTACTGTAGGCCACAAAAATAATTGTTTTCGAACGTCATCAGTTTTTGTCTCACATGATGTCACCAGGAATCACAGTGCATAGATATGTCACAGAACTGCGTCAGAAGAACAAAGACTGTGAGTTTGGTCAAAACGTGGATGATATGATCAGAGATAAACTGGTGTTCAGCATAAATGACATAAGCCTGAAAGAGAGATTACTTTGCAACAAAGAGCTCACTCTAAACAAGGCTATTGAAACCTGTAGGTCTACAGAAGTGGCTAAATCACAGATCCAGGCAATGCAATCAGGTCCAGCAGTCCAGGACGCTCTGATAAATGCGTTAAAAAAAGCATCCAGATACACACGACAGGGCCAAATCAGAAACAAATTCACCAGCAAACAAACAGTTTGCACAAAATGTGGAAATAACATGAGCCAAGGCAATGTCCGGCATATGGGGTAACGTGTCACAAATGTGGAAAAAATAACCACTTCTCAAAGGTATGCAGATCGAGCATTGAGAAAAACACCACCTATAAGAAAACAAAGACTGTGAATAACTTGGAGGTTAACATGGACGCTTTATGTATAGGAATGGTGTACAGTGACAAAAGTGAGGCAGAAAGTTGGACAGAAACAGCCACAATAAGAAGTGTGCCCATCATGTTTAAGCTCGATACAGGCGCAGGTGCCAATGTGCTTCCTGCATGCATATACCACAAATTACCAGGTGCCATTCAATTACAGCCCACAAAAACTGTACTAATAGCTTTTGGCGGTGCTCGTATACATGCAGATGGAGTTGTCTCTCTCGAGTGTAAAACCACCAAGACCAGTGCCATGCTCAACTTTTGTCCACCCAAGCAGACAAGACAATCCTGGGAGGACAAGCCTGTGAGGAGCTGCAGCTGGTGAGGAGAGTCAACACGCTCAAAGCCAAGTCATAGAAACCAATTAAACCACCAGCCACCGAAGAAGAACTGGTGGAAAGATATATGGAGGTGTTCACAGGTTTGGGTGAGTTTCCTGGAGTTCACTGCATACACATCAACCCGAATGTGACACCTGCCATTCATGCATGCAGAAATGTGCCTCTTTCCATATTGGACTCACTTAAAAAAAACACTACAAGACTTACAGGACAGAAACGTAATAACACCTGTCAATGAGCCCACAGAATGGGTGAACAGTCTTGTCACTACACAGAAGAACGGTACACTAAGGGTGTGTTTGGACCCTTGCGACCTGAACCAAGCAATTAAGTGCCAGCATTACTCCATTCCCACACATGAGGATGTCCGCAGCAGGCTAGCAGGAACATCTGTTTTCACCATTTTAGATGAAAAGGATGGGTACTGGCAGATCAAGCTGGATAAGTCATCTTCAAAGCTATGCACCTTCAACACACCATGGGGCCAGTATCGCTTCCTCCGGCATCCATTTGGGATTAAATCAGCCAGCGAAGTGTTTCAGCAAAAGAACTGTGAGATATTTGGTGACATTCCTGGTGTGTTCATCATAGCAGACATGATCATTGCAGTAGAATCAGAATGTGAACATGATGAAATCTTACAGAAGGTTATGGAGAGAGCTAAAACAACAAATGTGAAGTTTAATAAGGACAAGATCCAGTTCAAAGAAGACACTGTAAAGTACATGGGGCATGTGATCACTGCTGCAGGTCAAAAAGCTGATGACACAAAGATCAAAGCTATAGTTGACATGCCTACCCCAGAAGACAAACAAGGTCTCCAATGCCTACTAGGAATGACAGTTCCTAGCACAGTACATACCAAATGAGGCATCACTCACTCCACCTCTAAGACAACTACTCAAAAAGGACACTGTGTGGCAGTGGCAGTCACACCACAATGTAGCACTACGGACACTCAAAGCTGCCCTCACACAAGCACCAGTTCTGAGATTTTATGACGACAAACAGCCACTGACCCTGCAAGCTGTCTCTTCAAAAAATGGGCTGGGAGCGTGCTTGCTTCAAGGAGGTTACTCTGTGTGCTATGCGTCACGAGCGCTCACGGACACTGAAAAGAGGTACGCACAAATAGAGGAGTTACTAGCCATTGTGTTTGCCACTAAGAGATTCCATCAATATGTTTACGGGAGACCAGTGACAGTCCAG